TTCAATTTAAATATTTCACAACATGGAAATTAAAAAATCAAACCATTCCCAGTAGTTCATTTTCACAATTTGAATTATTGTGTTGCATTTATTTCTGTTTAGGAACAATAAATTCTCACTATTTTGATTTAAAAGTGGATACAAAATGTATAACATTATCTTCATTGATATCTGCAGAATAAATAATAAAAAAAAATTCTAATTTATGACCCAACTGTTTTTATACATTCAAAAAAATTTCCCCGACACCAAAGCGTGTTATTAAAAACTATTTAAAAAGCAATAACCAGCAGAGTATTTTCTCTAAAAATATAGTAATTATGGTTCATCAGCAATTTTCCAAATATTTAGCACATTTTAACCAGATTTGTTTTGGAAATCTTGTCTAAGCACTTAAACTATTGGCCAGGGACCAGCAAAGTAAGTTGGTAAGTCAAGTTTAGAGTCCAGGTAGATGTTGACCCAGGTCAGTCATTTTTAGAACTTGATAACCACAAGACTAATCTCATTCACTGTCCAAGCCAAACATTGTATGTATATTTGATGTTTTAGGATGTAGATACAACTATTCACGATAGGATTTAAAAATTTACATAACGCAGGCTTGAAAATATGGTGAATTGTCATCACCAAAGAAAAAACAACACCCAGATCCAGTGTTTTTACCAGGGCACAAGTTAATCCAAAATATAGAATAAGATAAATCCAAAGGGGAGTGTAAAACGTAGCTCCAGCACTACATGAATATCTCGAATATGGCTGCTCTCGTCACGATTTCATGTTCCAACTATGGGTACACGTGTATGTATACCTTAATCCGGTATTAGGCTGACGGTCATTGTATCTCTAAACGGCTGGCATTATTTTGTTAAACTGTAGGCGTGGCGCAAATTTCCAAACTGACCAACCTACCAAATTCTTAACATCTCCTGGGATCAAAACCACTGTAGTAGCATCAACTCGTCAACTGTTATTACTCTGAGGTATAATAATCCCAGCAAATAATCCTCCTTTAAACCCTGCACTCGCGTGTACATCACTTTAATGTGATGCCGAATTTTTCATGAATTATTCAGTGGATTTATTTTTAACGAGATACAAATAAAAATTGTTGATGTTAATGACCCTTGTTTGTGGGTAGAAATATAAGCTGCATGGAGGAAATTGAAGATAAAAATTATTGATAGCAATGATTTAATGGAAAAATTATTTTTTCAAGCCATTTAGTGATTTTATTATTAGTAGTAAATAGAAATAATACAAATTAAAAATTAGATTCAAATTTAGGTCGATAAAAAAATTAATTAGCTTTTCAATAATAGACTTTATCGAATTATTTAATTTATTTAAATAAAAAAATAAGAAATAAATTGAACTTTCTGATTTTTAAGAAATTGAATCAAAGAAAAGTTGAAGTGCAAAATTTTTATTACCAAGTCAACACTCAAGGGTTGAAATGCACAATTGTATGAATAATAGTAATAGTGTTAATATTTCTTACAAAAGAATAGTTTATTGAAACTTTAAAATTATTTCTTGAAACTTTCTAAGTTGACACAAGTTGGAATTCTGTAGCATGATTTATTCATGTGATTATTGATAACTTTATAAGTTCTGAATAAATACATAACAAATGAAAAAACTTGGAGTTTGCTGAAAAACTCGACTTCATTTTTATTTGCAAGTCATAAGAATATTTAATTCTTTGATAACAATCAAGTAATTCAGAGTGAAATGATTTTTTTTTTTAATACTTCATTCTTCCCAATTACAGTCAACTCTTTGAAATATTATTAGCTGATGATAAAAATTTTTGAAAAAAGTATTTAAAAAACTATTAATCAATCTGTTGGAAGCCATTGACATTTTTAAAAATGTCATAATAAGCGTAATAGACAGAACCCTTCAGATAAGATAGCATCAGTTAGTTAATTTACGTATTTTGTGGGTAGACATACAAACTAAACGTGAGAATTAATGATACCTATTCAACTTCTAATAGGAGAGTTTATTTAATAATATTAAATTTATCTAATCCTCGATTAACCTGAATTTAATATAAACCTACACAAAAAAAGACTTCAACAGTCTCAATTTCTGTTGGGTCTAGATTAAAACCTTGTAGGTACAACAAGTTGATATAAAAATAGTACTTGAAATGTATTTAAGTTAAATTTTCAAATAATTAAAATTAATATCAAAGTTAATCTTCCCTTATCTAAATAAATTTTTCCATCAGTGTATCTAATTTAAACAATTTAATTACCAAGTATTTTTACTAATTAATTAACTCCCGTCCATACACTTTCATAATCAATTTTTCATTATTAAAAAAGCCGTTGAACTCAACTGTCAAAGGACCACGTTTTACTAACTCAATTTTCTAGAGTAAATCAACACCAGTGTAGGATAGTGATGCTGCTTTTTAATGATTTATTGGATTTATTACCGACAAGAGCGTGGGAGAGAAAGTCCGAACAAAATGACACCGATTTGTGTCAGCATTTTCTTTACATTACTCCTGAACTCGAACTAATTCGACATTAAAAAGCGCACTCGAATCATTTTCGTACCAATCACACAAAAGCCTCAACGAATCGTTTGAAAGTCGTTTAATATATATAACACTTCTATAAAGTGTTCTGTACATATCGAAGGGTAGTCGTTGAAGCATAAAACGCCAAACTAAATGCTCCACGACAACTAAATATTATAAAGCAATATATAAACTCAAGTGAACGCGTGGAAAATAACTACTACAGAGACAAAATGATATACACCAAACACCTTGATGTATGCACAAACACACTGGAATTTAAGAAGGAATCATAATGGTGGTATCTCTCTAATAGTCAGCAGATAGATGAACGTAACGAAAGAGACAAGAGAAGAGCATCAGGACTAACAGCCACGTTTAGAGATCCACGAACCCTGAACGCATCTGCCCCATTATGTTGGACCCTGAAGGCACCACCGTGGATCATTAATCGTCACTAAACGACAGCCATTTTGTATCTAAACTGGATTGCCGATTCACTAACTGGTTTCGAGGACATTTAATAGACTATAGACTATCCTTAGAAGTCTATTATCTGCCATACCTTTTATCTCTATTCAATATAAGCTGCATCAATTTTCATCTATTTTGTTGACTAATGCTCATCGTATAGTGTTCATTAGAAAGTTGCCTGCGAGATGGGTTGGCTCAAGTGAGCTAAGTACCCTTCGTTACTGCCATTTTCGAATTAAAAATTAGAGGTATTGAAGTTTGAAGAGACTTGAAATGATTATTTTATTGGATAGGTGGCTTGGAGATCTGGACATGATAGATGATTGAATAGTATTTTAAAATTCACTTTATCAACTCCAATTCAATAATGTATTGCTAATTAATTATAATTGTTTTCAATTTTTTTAAACAATTATTTAATGCCCACTAAGATTAAAATTTAATACAAGTTGGTGATTCAATGTAGACTATTAGAGTCCAAATCATTAAACTTTTTGGAGTAGTATTTATTATTGTATCAAATGTATTCACTGATGAAAATGGAAGTGATTGATGAACTTTGTTATTTAAATGTATAATAAAATAATTGATTAATTAATAAATTATTTGAAATAGCTAGCTAGTATTTTTATTTTGATTAATAAAGATCATTAAAATAATTAAAGAGACTGTGTATTCATCAATGGCTAGAAAATTTGTGATCAATTTATTGAATTTTATCATCAACAATAAAATTTCTTTCAATGCCAATTTTAATCTCCAGCACTGATTAATTTTAACTTCAATAATAAATTTTATTTGGTAAAGGAAAAATATCATCAATCATTTAAAAAATATTTATTTTGGAATATTTTCTCTAAATTACAACTTAATTATTCAAATCATACGATAATTTTCCACGACAAAAAAAACTTGTAAAATGAATTAACACATTATAAATGACAAGAAAACGATTGATTTTTCATTACTACATCCAACAAATACTAATACACCGTTAATTATAAATTGTCATTGACTGTTATTCTCCTTGCAATTCGAGGAATATTTTTTTTCCTCAAGTTTATTCCTCTTCTTAGTTTATATTATATTGAAAATACCTATAACAAACATTTCCAAATAAATCCCCTAAAACACGAGAGTGGTGGGTGGGCGAAGCGATATCCCGCAGGTTCTTCTGTCTACAATTCTAACAAGATTCAAAATATAAGCTGCTTGACTGCAAAGAGCAGGAATAGAGCGACTCAAACCTCTTATTTCCTTTTCCATCTTACTTGACTCTTTTTTCTATACACCTGAGCTTCTCCCTCGGGAGCGATGCTTGTCATTTATATAGTCTGCGTATAATAAACGAATCCCCAAGTCTGATGGATTAGTTTAATCCTAAAATATCGCTTCAAACAATATATAAACACAGCCGCGATTACATGGAAATGATTATTATTTAGTCAATCTATTTTAATTTAACTCCTCTGAATGATATTAAATCTAAAAATGTCCAATGTATCCTAATAATAATTGGATATAATAATTCTTCTCAAATTACTGTCTATCTGTATGATTAAACGATCGAATTGATCAGTGGTTCGAGGCGTGAATTAGGCAATTAGAAGTCGTCACGTTCACATAAGCAATTCACTCTCTATAATGCCCCTACTCTGGTTGTAGGGAATCAACGGTGGCTGATCCCAGTCAAGAGAGAGAGACAGGACATTGAATAGAGGCTTGATTGAGGGAGAGCATGAAAACAGAGGGTGCAGAGGGTCGTGTTGAATTCGCGGGCAACAATTCGATTGGTGAAAAGACAGCAAAGGTAACGCCCATAGGCGCAACGCCTGTACCAGCCACCAGCACGACGGCATTGGTCGAAGCAGCACGGTCGACGCTGGAACTGGTCCACCGGGTCTCGCGGGGGCGGTGCACGCGACGTCGAGGTCGCGGGCTTTCCGCTCCTGGTGACGGTAAACTCGTAATCAGTGCCGTTTCCGCGGCAGAGGCGGCCACCACGCGACAAACATCTTTCAGCATATTTGTTAAATAACGCTGTACTGTTTAGTGAGTGCTAACACTTTTCCAGCATTTCGAGGCTTCGTGTGTTATTGTGGTGGATTATTGAGTGATTGAGATCATCTGCGACAATGCCGGACTTGTTGCTGATTTTTCAATTGACATACGAGAGATAGAAAAAGTGTTGCAAAGAGTTTATTTTAGTTTGTTTATGAGACATCTGATTGATATGTCTGTTGTCAAATTGAGAATGAAATAGTTGAAATTTGGAGTAACGTGCGAATGCCGCCGGGTCAAGTGTATGCGAAGGTGAGAGGAGTGGATAATTGCAGCAATCTGCAACCGGTATGAGTAACATCGAAGGGCTTTCGATGCAAGGAGCCAGCACGAATGCGGCTGCCGGTGGTGTTAGCTTGTCTGAAGACGTTGATATGGCAAGTCCTACATCAGCTGCGTCTAATCCAAAACCTCGTAGTGGTAAAATAAGTTTTAGTGTTGATGCCTTGCTAAGTGGAACGAAAAAATCACCAGTTAATAATTCGACCAGTAGAAGAGGAACAAGTAGTATAGAAAATGGTGATGATTTGGCAAGTAGTGATGCGTCGGAAAAGAGTTTGGAGATGCAGGATGAAGCTCGTAGATATAGAGACTTTCTTATCATGGAACAGGAGCGGCAAAGAAGTTTGCATAATCGTGAACTTTTAGCCAGGTTGAGTCCATTAACTGCAAATAGCTTGACCAGTTTTGCTAATCTCCAACAGCAGCATCTTTCTCATCATCACCATCATCACCATAGTGGGCGTTGTAATCCATCAAGCTCCGATTCTGGAAGATCTAGCGAGCATCGACAAGACACAATCACTGTGAAGGATTTCTCAAGAACGTCACGAATAAATGAGAAATCTTCATCACCCGTCGGTTTGACGGATGAACGATTGAGTGGCAATGGAAACAGTTCACCTAAGCAACTTCTTCACCGGCGAACTGAAGATGAAGAACTCGACGACGACGACTTAGACGACGAAAGACTGGCAAACCATTCTGTATCACCAACACGATTAGAGTTGGATAATGAGCGAAGTGACTCCGAAGCACCGAGATCTCTCGAAGGCGACGGCAGCTGTGAAAGGCTGATGGACGTCGGCAGTGGTTCCAGGTCGGAAGATCTAAATGTTATGGATTCGGATGGTGAAATAGAGCATGATGCCGACGGTGGAAGTAAACGAGATAAAGAAAAATCAACTCCAGTGATACCTCAACCAATTCATCCTGGTGGACAAAGACCTCCAGGACCCTACTTAGGAACTCCAGGAACAGCATCCGGATGGTCTCCCGCGGGATTTCCGCATTCTCTTGCCAGTTTCGCGTGGCTACCCCCACCTCCACATCCGCATAATCCGCATGGACATCTGTACACGCCCCAGGGTGGACCTACTAGTCCAAACGGTGAGAACCGCCCCGGATTATATAGCTAATACGAATACGTCTATGCATTGCAATCGTCTACTTGGTGTGTGCACTACAATCACAACCGCAACGAGATTACATGGGGATTATTTCCAATGCTCGTTATCGTTGACGTTGACATTTAGGGGCTTCCGCGTGATGATGATGCGAATCGATCAGACTTAATGCTGCTCGTATATGCCACTTTCGATTGACAGCCGGGAAGTAAATAGATCCGTTGTGCTTATCAGCAAGTCCTAAACTATTCCGTATAATTATCCTTCAGTAATATTGATCCATGCGTATCGACATATAGAGATGCACCGTCTAATTGATATGATTCACAGTTTCTACCGTGATGCAGTTAATCTACTGAATTAGTAGGAATTATAGATAAGGCAACGACGACTCGCTATGGTGAAGCTATTCAGCGCTAATCGGGTGAGGGAGAGACACGTTCTTAAGTACTCCTTATAGTCGTTGAGAAACTCACTGCATCAATTCTTAGAAAGAAATCGCTGCAGACCATTCAGGGGACTCACTTTATATTGATCGCTAAGGAACGTTGTTATTCTTGTTACAAATACACACATTCTTGAATAACGATCACGCCTGCTGTTGATGCGTCCCATCGTTCCTGATGTTCCAAGCATGTTTAATGCATTTGATTTACACAAAAAATCATCCCGACAGATTCCATTTCATTCATTACAATGCCATGATGTCGTACATTGTGTGTATACAAACACCAAAACTCCTTAAATTTTTTTTTCGTCTCCTCGTCGTCGTCGTCGTTTTTTTTGTTGCTGTATCAGGACGACCCTTAATTCGAAACAATCATCGAGTAATTAGTTAATTAGTTTGAGTTATAGTGACGACATTTTTATGACTGAAGAATTATGTCTCACATTAATTCAGCTACAAAATCATTATGAACGATACACTAGTGAAAAATTATCTAAAGTCGATAAGAGATTTAAAAGAAGATAGCGTTTCAAAATCTTATAATACGATTCATGTATCAAGATGTTTCCGTGTTGTTAAAATATCTTTGACAGTAGTTTTCCGACATTCAACCATCATTTATAATCATGTACACGAGGTTCATCCGGTCGTAAACTCTGAATAAATTAATGAAGACCTCCCTCATAATCTAATGAGCTCGCAAGATGATTCATCATTCTTCTGTATTCATTATTGTTATTTAGGAAAAAAAATCTATAATTAAGAATCATTAGTGACAAAATTATTGCTGCTAATAATAAATAATGACGTTCTTGCAAATAAAAATGTGAGATTTATTTATTAAGTTTAGAAAACGGTTTATTTAACTACGAGGTGGGACTAAAATTTATTATTGATTTTAATTTTTTTTTAATTTTAATATTACTTTATTGAGTGTAATAAAATATTATTAGCAATATTTTGGTTCTACCCAGATGCTTTTATTCCGATGAATAACATCATAAGATCAATAATTATTTATTATTGTTATATAATATTTATTAAAATTTTTTTTAAACACATTAATATTCATTTAAGTTGCTATAATATTATTCTTTTTTTTTCACTTTTAAAAGTCAATTTGTCGAAAAAAAATTGGGAAACTTTTTTTAATGAAATATTTGTAACAGAAATATGGTTATTAAAAGAAATATTTAATTAAACTCATTTCCTACTCCATTAATATATTAATTTATTAAAATCATTTTTAAATATTAACTTGTTATGTTAATCATATTATTTTTGCGTGAGCTAATTGACTGAAAGGGTATGTTGATTAATTGCGTTAACTTTTTTTAATTGCCATGTGTTTTGTGAGAATGTCCTTGAGAAGTTTACAGAGCACAGTGTAATTAAAAAAAGTTTGACAATCTGAGCTTACATATTTGTGTAGCCAATCAGTCTTAGTCCATCACTTTCATCAAAATATATTATTCAACAATAAATAACATTAATTTATAAAAATATTTAATTTTAAATAGTGATTATATATAACTCAGTGTCCTTCAATGCTATCTTTGAAGCAAATCAGAAAATTTCAAATATCAATGCAATGACTCAACAAATATTTCTAGCATGCAACAATGGCATTGTTGCATAGTAGAGTGGTCTTAAATAAAAGCCATCAAAATCAAGAGCAGTCAAAATAAATCCACGAGTATTTACAAAATATTTGAATTTAATTGCAACATTAATTAACAGAGTCACACATTAATCGTTACGTATATAAGCCAAGCTACACGGTTTAGTGCATTGAATATAGTTGCGTGTGAAAATACAATTAGTCTAACGATCGTACAACACCCATTGGAAATGTCAAATATTCCAGTATTTAGTCTTGTATAAGAAGAAATCTCAACTCTTGTAGAAGTAATAATGCGAAAATGTAAAAAAAAGTACTAGACACACGCAGGAGAACGTCGGAATCGCTTATGCAAGACGCAACCTCGTGTAATTTGTATCCCGGATGAATCTCGCAACTCGATCGTGCTCGTGTATCCACGACGTTTCTCTTGCCCGGTAATTAACGGGAATTAATTAGCGCAAGGGAAAAACACTCGTGGCGATCCACTGGCAGTTGTGCCGCTCTCTGAATGGATGCGGCTCTATACCGTTAGTAATACTGCCGCGTTCAAATGGGATTTGATAATACCACTAAAGGCACAAGGAAAAAGAGAGAGTATTCAGCAAGATCTTGGCAGAGTAAGACGAGAGACTGAGGGAGAAAGGTACGAGAGAGGTAAAGATTTAACGATGTCGCGGTGTGACAGATAGGCCGACATCGCGCCTCGCTTCTTTCCAACCATCGGTAGACGTTAATTGGCGGTCTCTACTTTGTAATAATTGGTACCGATTCAGGAATATCCGACCACTGGGCTAACTTTCTCGCGTGCTGTCTTTGCTCTAGACTTTTCTCTTTATCCTTCGTCTTATTTATTATCGGATATTCAATCCGTCACTGTGTCAAACGCCACCTTATTTCCATCAATTTCCTTGTTTCTTTTCCTATCAAACATTATCGATCCATTATCTTTCACATGTTTACCAATAATTTACCAATATAAGCACTCTCAGTAAATGATCTTAAACAATGAGAAATCATTCTTTAAGGAAATTACTTTTTTATGAAAGTGATTGATGATGAAATGCGATAGCTAGGAAAGGAGTTGGGTTTTATGATGATGAGAATTTCTTCCTTGGTTGTTTACACTGAGAAAAAATTTTTTGCAATGTACAAAATCAATATTTAGTCAATAAAAATAATTATAAAATATTCGCAATAAAATTTTTTATTGAATTTATTGATATTGATAACACCATGGAAAAAAAAATTTCGTTACGATTATTCAAAATTTTGTTCATTGTATTCTTCAGGAGATTTACGATTACCTGGACCTGGTCCTGGACCAGTCAGATGTACTTTGAGGAAGCATAAACCAAACCGAAAACCAAGAACTCCTTTTACCACTCAGCAATTATTGTCTCTTGAAAAAAAGTTTCGAGAGAAACAATATCTTACGATAGCAGAGAGAGCTGAATTTTCATCATCACTTCATCTAACAGAAACACAGGTTGGTATTACATACAAATTCTTTATCCACCACATGCATATTATTTCCCAAAAAAAATAACCTGTTATTAGTTTTCCTCAATTGATAAAAATAAAAGTATGCTGTTCCATTTATTATATAAATACAGAAAAATAAATTTTTTTTTCCGACACTGATGTTTGCTTAACAAATGAAAGAATTCCTTTTCACATATTTGTTTGCTATTAATAAAAATCATTAGAGTAAATCCAACGACTTCTGAAATTCAAAAAATTTCTCTACTTGTCACACTATTGTATACTGAGCCAGAAAAGTAGGCAGTATTTCTTAAATAAATCAAACATAAAGACTTAAAATGCTCAATATAAAGTAGTTCAAATGAAAAAATTTCTTAACCACAATTTTCTAGAAAAATATTTCTAAAAATACATATTTAGATACGTGAGCAAACATAAGCATATACCTTAATGCTCTCATTAAATATCTAATGGGCCTATAAATATGATATTTCCAGTCCATTAATGAAATATTTAATCGCATTTACTCCAATTCTCAGTTTCCAAAATAAATATTATTTCTTTAATCAGAAAATAAATTTCTCTTCTACTCCAACAAATTCATCTTAATCATTTAAATAAATCCTCATATTTTTTTTTTTTACATTAATTAAATTTTTTTCTATGCAAATAGTTTAAAATTTTCAACACTCGTAATTTTTTTTTCCTTTCATTAATTATCTTTTTGTCTAGATTTTTTTACCTTTAACCAAACCGTTATCGAAACAACTAGCGTGTCAGAATACACTTTACGCGTTGGGTGCAATGCATCAGACGAAATGAAGCTTTGTAGCATTCATTTGCTTAGATAAGACCCACTGATCGTATACACCCTCACGGTTACTACATTATTCACCCTGTACCAGGACAAAGAGCTATATGTTTTAGTACACTTTAAATCGTCCATTACTTGTTCTACGATTTCCTCCATTTCCTCTTTTCATACAATTCCCCATTGATCCGTTCCACTTGACAGATTTCATTCCAAATTACATTTATCCATCAATTATATGATACTCTAATGAAATTTCTTAATAACTCCAGGTCAAGATCTGGTTCCAAAATCGTCGTGCTAAAGCGAAACGACTGCAAGAGGCGGAGATTGAGAAGCTCAGGTTATCAGCAAGACCACTATTGCATCCAAGTTTCAGCACTGGTCTCATGTTCTCAGCTGGGGTTGGTCCACCTGGTGCTCCCGGTGGAGTTCCACCCTTTATAGCAGCAGCTATGGCTAGACATAGTCATGCTGCTGCCACTGCTGCTATGTTTATGGGTCCTCCTGGACACCGGCCTTGAACTCTTTCTGCTTGTGTGAGTGGATGGAAGAAGTTCTTTTCTTTGATAACTCTTGATCATCTGGAAGGTAAATTATTGACTTTTATCAAAAATACAAGAAGCAGACATGTTTCAGTGAGTTTGTTCAAAACACTTGCATCCTATGGTTTCAATAATATTGAGTATTTTGTAAGATTAAATTGTTAAAATGTTTTTTATTTTTTTTTTAAGTGGTTTATAATATTTTTCTATCTAGAATTGAACTAGAAAATATTTATTCTAATCATGAAATATTTATTTAGTCATTGAAAATAAATTTATCTATTGTGATAACAGAGAATTTCATTGAAGATAATTTTAGAAAAGATTTCTAAACCTTATAAGTTGATTAGATTTTAAAAAATTGATTTTTTGATGGACTTGATTTATACAGCAAATCTAAATGAAATGAATTCACTAGTTTATCCGTAGATCAGGTCAAATTTATGAATATTCAATTTTTTAATTAAATAAAGTTTTTGAAAAATAAAAAAAGAAATATCTTTAAATTATTATAAAAATATTCTATCAATCATAATAACAAAAGATGTTTTTATCCAGCTAATAAATTTACGTACAATTTATTTTAACTATTATGTCACTGCATAGGTAATTTGTGTACTTAAAAATTAAATTTTTCAAATAATTTTATTCAATCGAATATCATAAATATTACAATACATCACATAGTTTTCCAACTGTATAAATATTCACATCCAACAAAATACCTTTTAATAATTTCTCAGAAAAAGTCTGTCTTCATTTGTTGAGCATTTACAAAAGATCTTATTTACCTTCAAGAAATGACAAAGTTTTATAACAAAGCAAGAATTAGAATTTTTTCTGCTGTAATTAATATAATAAAAGACTTGTAAATAATGTAAATAAAATAGGTGTGTGTGGATACATCAAAATACCTGGATACATCAGCGTAGAAAGGTATGTAAATACTGAAAATTCGAGTAGGCTGTTGTCCTCCGATCAATGTCGATTCATGTGCTCAAGCAGAAATCGGTTATTTATACAAATGCGCACTTGATAACTATGGAGTTTGTAACGCGTTACAAAAAATTGTGATCTAATATGTTTGTTGAAAAAGCAAAATGAATAAATTGCGTGGATGGTACTTGAGAAATTGGCATTTATGTTTGGCATCACAATCCTATTACTCAAACAAACTTCTGCTAACTGTATCTTAAATCAATCATTTCAATCAATCAATGACATTAATATTATTATTGGCTATGAATTTTCGTGCGTTTTATGCCGACTCCAATGAAAGAAATGAAGTAATATAATTATGTAAATTGTGCACTAAAGTGCGATGTTTATTTACTACATGTGAAATAATGAAAGCAAAAGGGTGCAAGAGAGCGAATGAGTACAAAATAATAGTATATATAAATATATAAATACGAGTGAAAGAAATATTCAAATGAAGATTCGGCAATAAGCAGTCTGTATAAATGTAATATGATAATTTATCCATGAAAATATGTTCTAGTAAAATAAATTGCAGTTTCAATACTTTCATTTGTATTATTATTGCCACCATTATCATTGAGTATTCAATGACATTCTTTTTACAATTGCCGAAAATACTTCCTTCTATATCCGAATCATAAAGTTATTTATTCTCTAATTAACGAGGGAAGAGAAATTTAATCAGACATCAATATTTGGCGAGTTTACCCCATTAAATGTGGCCGAAATTTTTTCTTCCTACCATCATTCAATAATTGGACTTCAATTTTACTAATTAACTTATTATATAAATAATTCATAATTAGCTTCTTCATTGCAGATAATACGAATTCATGAAAGCCGAAGAAGGAAATAAGGTAAGTCCCAAAAGTGAAGTTTTAATTTATGAAATTTCCACTAAATGTCTCGCCATGGACAAAATTAAAATCATATTCACTATATATGTATACATAAGCATCGAGAATTGGTGTCACATTTACATTATTGGTCATATATTACTTTTTTCATGTCTTTTTGCGTTACATTTCCGCATTGATTACCAAGAATTGTCCTGAGATCAGCAAAGTTGCTGGAAATTTTATTCACATAATGTTTCCATTTTATTTTATAACATCCCTTATATGCAATTGATATAAAGCAGCGGCGACGACCAAGGCGAGAGTTAGGGCGCGCGCGCATATAACGTCGTCTTCACCACGAGCGCTGACAATTAATTAAAGAATAATTTCTTGTCTTGGCGATATCCAGAGGAGCGCGTTGACTGTGCAGTTGGCGGCCAATTATGCCACAGGACAAGCGCGGAATACCAAGCAGGATCGCGCGACGAGGGTGCACTAGTCGATGCGCACACGCAAGTACTGTGTGCTGCACTCACAAACAAAGTACTTGTTAAACGTGCACTTTGTTTAATACATTTAACTACTACCTCCGAGAAAATCGATTCACCCTATTGCAATCTTACAGTTAATCTACGGTACTCTCTTAACAACTAATTCTAAATACCTCTGCCGAAGAATTAAATTACCGGTGGATTAATTTTTTTTGAGTAAACATTCAATGTAATTTGCATTGAGTTTCATGGAAAAAATTTAATTATCATTATTTATAATTTGTTGTGAAAAATTTTATTATCAATTTCTTAGGAGGAAATCGTGATCTTGCCACAATGTATTAAATTTTTAACTTAACTTATTTTTTTTATCACTAATAGCTGCATTCTTTTTTAATTAACAAATTATTTTATTGAAGAACAATTCCTTGATTTAAGATAAATCTTGGAAGCACCAGAAATACTCAATGTGTTTCAAATTTTCCATTTTACTTTATAAATATTTGAATTTAAAAAGATGATAATTTTTTATTTTCGTTGCATTTTTTTTATTTCTTCAATAAACAATAATTTAAAATGATAAATACCAAAGATATGAAGAAATAAATTTTTCCTTCTCCACAAAAAAAAAATGATTTAAATATTTTTTATAACAACAATATTTTCAGTGTTAATATTTCCGATTTCTAAATTAGATACCACACGATTACGATCAAAGTCCAATAATTAAGTAATTTTATAAAATTAAGAGCGCAATGAAATACAATTTTTATATGTCAGTAGCAAATAACGATGAGAATTATTACAATTTTATGATAGCCTATAAAATATTTCTCAGCTCAGAAAAAAATACAACTCATCTTGAATGAAAAAAAATCGACTCTATCATACTTAGATTGACTCGTAAATAAAAATAATCAATTCAATAGGTAATTATAGTAAGAAGAAGAGTAAATGATTGTACATGACAGAGTTCATTGAAGAAGATATTCATGTAAAGTATAAGAAAAAAAGCCTGGTGGTAGAAGAGGTCGAATAAAATTCATGGTTAACGTGTGTGCATCCAAAATAGGGGTCTTCTTGAGAGTCTCGATCCTCATTCGGGTTTATCCAAATTAATTGGTCGTAAATTAAGTGGCAGACCGAGCGCGCGATCCACGGAGCTCTTGTAATAATAAAAGAGGGAAGAAAAGGTGAATGAGTGAGGAGGATGCAATGAGGTCGCGATGAATTGGTGAAATGAGAAGGAACGTTACTGCGAATAAAAGAACGAAATAAGCACCACTATCGACGAGGACAGTAGCACATCGACACGCCATTATGTGGCGACTGGGACTAATTTATACAACAGAAAGACAAAGATACACGGCGTAAGGATGCAGTTTGTGCAAGTGAGACAAAAGCATCAGGGAAGAAGTCCTAATTGGAAGCTCCGGCCACTGTTTCGCGGTGTATAACGACCCGCTCGAATTCGTGTCGCTACGAAATTGAGCCGCTTAAATATGTATATGTACACATTCCCCTACTTTTATACTTAATCTGTAATTTTCATCTTTTTGTCTTTAGATATACAACACCACGCTCCTGATAAATATAATTGACGGAAGTGTGAAATAAAATTTAGATGCTATTTTATCTACATTGCACTATTATACGGACAATAAAACGCTTTTTTTGGATTTAATTATAGTTCGTGACGATACTTTAGTTTCTATTTTGAAACTTGTTATGAATTGCCAACATAGTTATTCACCGAGTTGAAAGCTAATTGATTTAAACAGATGAGGGAAAAGGCTTTAGTCGAGATGATGAATATTCATTTTCGGTTAATTTAAGTGAAAAATTAATGACTGCAGTGCAATTTTGTTGCTAAGTATTTAATCAATTGTATTTTAATTAACTTTTTTTTGTTTTTATCATATTCATCTAGAGTATTTGGAAGCAAAGGTATTTAATAAATTATTTTTTATTGCAATTATTTTTAGTTTCACTTTTTGTGAACAAGTGCTATTTTTCTGAGCATTGGTTTCATTGAATAAATTTTTTTTTTTAAGATTTATGATGTTTTAGAAAGTAAGCATTAATTTAATAAAATATTTCATATTATTTTTTTTATTAAATAAACATTTGTAAATGTTTAAAAATTAAAAAAATTTTTTCCCAGTGTATAACTATTATCAAATAAAAAAAAACATTACTTAGTTAATAACAGAAAAAATTCGGATGTTTTTTCAACTATAATTAGAAATTTTCAATGACTGAGAATAAAAAGAAAATTTATTCATTATCGAAGTGGCTGAATCGACATTTCAACTTATAAACCTGTCTTTCATTTTCCCTCAATTCCGTCTTGATTGAAATAATTATATTCTCTTTCTACCAATCATCTAATACTGAATAAAAAATTTTTCCCAGCAGTAAAACTAGTGCAAAATATTGGATTGCAATAATTGGACAAATAAGAGAAGAATTCTCAGTGGCATAAGTTGAAAGTACTTGTCGTTTTATTTACAGCAGAATCGACAGAAACGAGAATAACGAGAAACGGGATTTGGAAAATCACGTCGGCCGATCACGTTTGCACAAGTAAGAGCAAAAAGGTACTCGGAGAATCCTCGGGCAATTAGTCGATATTTTAATGCGCAAAAAATGGTCCGCTCGTTATATCCGTATATGTATGTATACCGGTTGAGGGGGGCCGGGCATCCACCACTCCCCAAAGGACCACCAGAAAAACGCCAACTCAACGACTAGCGATGCCACGGTTGTATACTCCACTGAAAGTCAAGATGGACTCAACAAGAGATGGTCTCACTCGCGCGAGAGAGCAAGCCGCGGCACCTTGTTAGCGCGCACCGATTCTTCGCTTGACGCGGCCCGTCCGATAAATAATCGTCCGACGGGCGTTAACCTGAT